ACCATCAGTCCGACTCTACAAAGTTCTCCCCTACACCGTATCCCCCAACATCTCATCCAAATGACCCTTAAACACATCCAGGGATGGTGACTCCACCACCTCCCTGGGCAGCCTGTTCCACTGTCTGAACACTCTTTCTGTGAAAAACTTTTTCCTAACATCCAGTCTCAACCTCCCCTGTTGCAGTTTAAAGCCGTTCCCCCTTGTTCTGTCACTGATCACCCGTGAGAAGAGACCAGCACCAACCTCTCTAAAATGTCCTTTCAAGTACTTGTAGAGAGTGATGAGGTCTCCCCTTAGCTTACTACTTCTCAAACTGACCTATCCCAGCTCCTTCAATCTCTCCTCATAGGATTTGTTCTCCAGGCCCTTCACCAGCTTTGTTGCCCTCCTCTGCACTCGCTCCAGCACCTCGATATCTCTCTCGTATTGAGGTGCCCAAAACTGGACACAATACTCCAGGTGTGGCCTCACCAGAGCAGAGTACAGGGGGACTGTCACCTCCCTACTTCTGCTGGTCACACTATGGCTGATACAAGCCAGGATGCCGTTGGCTTTCTTGGCCACCTGGGCACACTGCTGGCTCATGTTCAGCTGCTTGTCCATTAGAAACCCCAGATCTCTTCCAGACAGCTCTCCAGCCACACCTCCCCAAGCCTGTAGCCATGCATGGGGCTGTTGTGGCCCAAGTGCAGGACCTGGCACTTGGCCTTGTTGAAGCTCATCCCGTTAACGTTGGCCCACGGATCCAATCTATCCAAGTCTCTCTGTAGAGCCTCCCCATCCTCCTGCAGATCGACACTCCTGCTTAACTTGGTGTCATCTGTGAACTTACTGATGATACACTCTATGTCCTTATCAAGATCGTCAATAAAGATGTTAAACAGAAATGGTCCCAACACCCAGCCCTGAGGAACACCACTTGTGACCGGCCACCAGCTGGATTTAGCTCCATTGACCACCACTCTCTGGGACCATCCAGCCAGCCAGGGCTTGACCCAGCAGACCGTTCCCTCATCCAGGCCATGAGCAGCCAGGTTTTTTTATGAGAATTTCATGGAGAACCGTGTCAAATGCTTTTTAAAAATCCAGGTAGACAACATCCACAGCTTTTCCCTCATACAACAGTTGGGTCATCTTGTCACAGAAGATCAAGTTTGTCAGGCAGGACCTGCCTTTCATAAACCCATGCTGACTGGGCCTGATCCCCTGGTTGTCCATTATATGACTTTTAATGGCACTCGAGATGACCTGCTCCATGACCTTCCCTGGCACCGAGGTCAGACTGACAGGTCTGTAGTTTCCTGGATCCTCCTTTCTGCCTCATTTGTAGATGGGTGTCACATTTGCCACCCTCCAGTCCAATGGGACCTTCCTAGTTAGCCATGATTTCAGGTAAATCATGGACAGTGGCTTGGCAAGCACATCTGCCAACTCTTCCAGCACCCTTGGGTGTAACCCATCGGTCCCACGGACTTGTGTGCATCCAAGTGGTGTAGCAGGTCTCTGACCACCTCCTCTTCAACTGTGCTGACCTCAGTCTGCTTCCCCTCCCCATCTCCCAGCTCACGAGGCTGGGTGTCCAGGGAACAGCCAGTTTCACTGCTAAAGACTGAGGCAAAGTAGGATAAGAATTGCAGCAAGTAACTCAAAATACTTTAATTTAAAAATTACCCTTTAATCCTTAAAATATTATTAGGATTAATATTTAATAATCATTTACATGAAGCATAAGAAAAGCTATCCATCTCCTATCATAAGACAACATACATAGAGAAATCCCTCACAAAAAAAAGATGAAGAGATATAGCTAAAACTGAACATAAATAGTCATAATTGATTTCCCAAGCTGACACTGCATTGTAAATTATTTACAACATATAAATAGGTGCAACACTACTCCAGGTCCATTGAAAAAAACCAAAATGGCATCACACAAGAAAAATGGCACAGCATAGCTTTCTATCACCCACACTACAACTGAATGAATGAAATGCAAGAGGAGATGTGCCAGGTTACTTGATACTTGCTAGTCAGCTTAATCAGATACTCTCAGTTTCCTGCAGGATGGATAACAAACACTGTTCTGCTTACTGCACACCACGTCTACCAAAATATTTTCTGAGGCAGAAAGATCCTAAAACCCCCTGTGCATCTAATAAAGCAAGGGGTCTGCAATCAGAGTCTGACATAATGTTAAAGGAGACTTAAATAAAAATAATAAATTACAAGGTATTGTATATAGATAACTGAGATAAAGTAAATTACAAGGTTATGATGACAGATACCTGGGTCCCTGACTATCCTTCATTGTAACCCTGCCATATCAAAACTTTGTGCTGCTGACTGCCCTCTTCCCTTATTTTTAAAAGAACAGGTCAGAAGGTCAGAAGAGTATCAAAAACATTTTAAACAAATGATTTTTAAAAATCTTGCCTGAAGTGTTATTCCAACAAGAGAAAACTATTATATATTCAACATATTGAATAAAAAAGTAAACTCTGTTCTTAATTATGACATGGATTTCTCCAAAGAGAGAAAAGCATGAGCAAGAAAAAAGCATGAGCAAGACTATTGCCATAAATAACTAGATTTAGTGGAAATTCTGCAATGCTTCAATGTTATTGAAAATACTTTCAACCTTTTTTTATTCAGGAAGATATATGTAAGAGGTATTACTTCCACAACAAGCTCACTGAAAAGCTTATCTTGTATCTTATTAGCATCAATAAGGTGATACTCATTTTCAGCCTAACTATATTCATACATTCTATTAATAATCACCTCAGTTGCATCACCCAGCTAAAGTCTTCATCCACTAGATACATATATATTTTTGGAGAAACTGGAACATTTTCTCTTTAGTTTTTTTTTAATGAGGATACACAGAAGAAAACAACAGAGAGGGAAAGGAATGTGAGAAGCAAGAGAGCATTAAAGCCAAATCACCTGCTTTCCAGGTTCACCCTTTACCAAAATTCTTTATCACCTGACGCAGTTTCACTGAAAATTACAAAACACAAGCCATTTTTGTCTCAGTCATCCTCCCTTCAAAACAAATAAAATACACAAAAAATCTACTAGATTGTTCTCACTCCATTAAAAAAAAAATTATTTTGTCTTTCTCAAGTATTCTCCTTGCAACTGCTAAGAGTTAAGGCTTTGCTAAGTCACAGCTATCAGCCATGACATGAATTCCCTATTTTCACTGCCTTCACTAATAAACCATTTAAAAAAGAAGCAAATAAAGCACAGACATTAGTGTTCAGGCCTAAAAAAAGCTAGGGAAAAAGCTTTACATTCTTCAATCTCAACATGACCTGTCAGACCCCCTCCAAAACCATCAAATTCTTAGAAATCAATCAATCCTTTCACATAATGAATTTTCCTTCAAAGTAATATAAATTTCAAGTAATTCACCCTTTTCCAATTTCTAGATCCTCTCAGTCCATTTTTGCTATTGATTTTCTTACAGTTTCATAACATAGGAAGTCCGTTTGCAATATGCACACAAAGCACTACTTAGCTTCTTATTCCTAAATAAAAATTACCCAACTTTTTTTTTTTTTTTTTTATTGCCTTAATTGTCTGCTCTTCTATGGTCTCATGTTTTCCTCAAATTCCCATCCATTGGAAAAAAAAAATATATATCTGTAAAACCTGAAAAATTAATAATGGATTAAAAAACACGTTTTCTTACTGACAAACCTTCAAAATATTTTACTAAAAAAATGTATAGGTGGTACCTAATTTTACCTGTTCCTCTTCTAAAGACAATCTTGATAATACTGGGAAAGTTCTACTAAATTTAGGGCAGTCTGTGTCAAGTAATTTTATCTAGTTATTTTTCCTTCAATAGCTAATGTCCAAGGTATTTTAAAAAATACAGCAATTTGTTGAATTACACAAGCATAAAAATTTAGGATTTACAGTATTTAATACCTCAGAAAAACTCAGAATCTATCAAGTAATCTAGAATATTTAGGTCCTATTTCTTTAATAATTCTCCTCTCTCACAGATCACTTTGTTTTGTATCTGAGTGCCTCCAATTCCTCTCTTCTCCCCCACCCCTGGCTCACACTACCCACAGCCCCTCTTTGCTCTGCCCAGGATCCAAGCAAGGACAAGTCTGAGCGCTGGGTGTATTCTTTCCTAGGCAAGCTGGAGCCAGCCCTCTTGCAACAGAGAATACCCAACCTGAAGACATGGGAGTACAGTTGCTTCCCTCATCATCACAGGAACATGCTGTACAGAAACCACAGTCCCATGACTTGGAGCACATCTCAACCAAGAAGCTCTGAGATGATCCTCTCTCTCTCTCCACTGAGCATGGGGAACTTGAAACTACATTCCTAACTGCTTCTTGCCATTTCCTTGTCCCTGTGCAAACTGAAGTCCATACAATCCCATTCTGCCTTACTCTCTTTCACCTTCCTTTTGATTTTTCATGCAGTCTCTGCCTTTCATCCCACCCTCTGTCAGAATAGGATGCTTCCTAGTATCTACACTGAGTATCTACAATGCTGTTGCTGCCCAAAGGCAAGATGCCAATCCCACTGGAAAAAAAAAAAAAAGTGTTTAAGGAAATGGTGACTCTCTTTTTAATCCTGACTACAGTAATGAGAGAGAGGAAAGCCAGCTTCACCAAGGGAAAATTAACATAATACTTCTTGTCATACCATGAAGGTTTTTTGTTTCCTTCATTTTATAAATATTTATGTATAAATAGTAGAGTTTTCAGTAGCAGAATCACGATTTTAGAAAAAATGTACTCGCAAATAACTTTCTACCTAGATACTTCCAGATTCCAGAAGAAACGCACACTTGAATCAAAATGTTTCCTGAAGAAAAAACTGTTACAGATGAAAACGCCTGAAAACAGACATAGTTGCCTTTCTGTGGCATCCTTTAGATACGTGGCTCAGCGTTTCAGTTCATTAGTTGCATTTAGTCTGAGCTCTGCCTTTTGAAGACAGACTGAAAGTAGTATCTTACTTACTTCGTGTCTCTGACGAGAGGTGCACTCCCCAGTTTAAAACAGATTTTTTCCCCTCCACAAGTTGTTTGCCTCAAAGAAAAGCTTTCTGCCAGATCAAACCCTGTGAAATAGGACACAATGATTTTAGTTTAATGGAATCTAAAAAATGGAACTAAATACTGACTGTAGTATGCTTGGTGACTTTCTAGACTACAGGCTTACAAGCTATTTTGATAACCAGTACTTTAAGTCAGAGAAACTCACAGTATTCACTTTATAGACAGAGAAACTATCAGTGCAAAATTCACTCAGTAGATGACTTTGCAACCTGAGAAATCTATTTGCTATTTCCTTTTACCATCTGAACTGATAAGAATGAAGGATGTTTAGGAAAAGCAACAGAAATTAGTATCGTTGCAGAACTTGAACCAATACTTTCTAAGAACAACATGTTCTGATCTTAACTCCACTGTCCTAAAAACAACTACAGCTTCTGGAGCGTGGGGGTGGCCTTTCAGTTCAGTCCTTTCAGTTCTAAAGCCACTTACAGTCAGATTATGATTACATCCACTACTAGCCAATTAATTTAGATATCCATATTAACACAATCATTTACCTGAAACACCAAGACTGTCTCTGTTGATTTGTTTGAGATGATGAACAACTGTTTTCATTACAGGACACACAGCACCTTCAAGAGAATACAGTTTAGTATCTATCATCAAAGTCTATCAAACAAAAATGAATCAGAGCAAACTATCATGACAGTGATAGTAATATTAACAGAAATGATTGGTTCTGTTTATTTAGGCTATGAAAAACAGAAATTACAAAATCTAAGTACGGTAATGATATTTCAGATTTCATACTATGCTTCTAATAATATAACCAGATACAAATTTTATCACATTTTAATTCAGATGTTTATTATTAAAGATCACATGAACAATAAAACCAGAAGAAAAGCTCTTTCAACCTACAACACTGTATAAAGCAATAACATCTGTTCTAAGGGGTTTTTTTGTATTTCTGGATATATTATTAGAAACTATCTTTTCCCCCCATAAATGAACATGAATTCTTGATTACCATGACAATAATCTATTGCTAATTCAGTGAACAGTAACTTCAAAATGTGGATTAACAAGGATATATTCATATCATATAATAAACAATGTAAGCAATATTAAAATTTTGAAAATAATGGTTGAAAATTAAGCAGCTTTACAAGGGATTAAGTCTGAACCAAAGTATTTAGGTAAACAAGCAGAATGTTCTATAATCTGAAGCATGGTAAATTCTAAGGTTAAATATAACTGAACACGTAGATCAGACACTGTTTTATTAATATGCAGTACCTATCTTGCATAACATCTTTTTTTTTCTTTTTTTTTTCCTGTATATACACAGGAATACACACTTCTAAGAAGCAAATGCAGAGAAATGTCATTTTTGTGCATGGGTCAAAAATAGGACTCTCTGCTCAACAAACTTTGCAAATAGCCCTCCTAAACCCTAATAAAACTATCAAACAGATGACAAGCAGGATTTGGCCCATGCGCTTCTCAAGCACAGAGCTCCCTGTTGAGCTGACGCCACTAGAAAGATAGCCAACGTACATCTGAAGCTGCTGAACAGTGAAGGTTGAGGGGCTTTCTGAAGTGTCAGTTCAATGAAGAATTTAAGGAGGAATATCCTACCACTAACCCGGAAATCATCTATATTTAACGAGTTCCAACAGCATCCAGACTGAAAGTTGGCATTCAAAACAGCTGTAGTTATAATCTTAATGCATGTGAAATCTGTCATTCTGTAGTAACGCAGAAATCATATTATCCTTCAGAAGTCTTAAATTCTATTAAATGTGTTACAGTATTTGATTTGATACAGGATTAAGAATGGCTAATTGGAAATAACCAGTAGAAGTGAAACTAAATTATATAATACAAAGACACACTTCCTGACTACGTAGTTAATTAAAGCTATGTCAATTGCTTGAAGAACAGACCAGGTGGAAGATATTTTGTCTTAAAATTCATCCAGTTCCCATGTCCTTTATGTCTAAATTGCAATCTACAATTACAAGTAACATCAATCATACATTAATTTATTTCTAAGGGTCTAAGAGAATATTCTTTCTTTCCTTTATACATATATACATAAATATGTATATACAAGCATTTACCTATACATATAAATATAAAAGTTTCATGACAAGTAAGATGAAACCTATGCATTAAAAACACTGTAAATTCCTGTTCCCCAGAAAAGACACAGAACTGTAAAGAATATTCATGTTGAAATCTCTGAAACTGAAATGAAATCTTTCATCATTCTTGGTTTGCAGGGAGTTTTATGTAGTGTGAAAAGCATTCACTGGAATTACATACTAACATAGCAATTCCAATACACTATTTGATACACACACACACACACACACACACACACACACACACACATATTATGGGACAGAAACAGGATCACCTTAGATAACCTTTAATCTACAAACCTCAGCCTTCAATAATTTATACAGATTATTAGACTACAGACTTTTATCTATAGCCATTCTAAAGCAATGCATGTGGTTATGGGAGATTTACACAAGTATAGCTATAAGAAGTATGCTGATGTAAGGGAATCCTGTTATGGCTGAAGCTGAAATAGCATGTCACACACACACACTGACAAGCATTCTTCTTAAATCTACGTGTTTTCTAACCAAGGAGCTTTTTAAAATATATATATTTATAAAAACTGTGGGACAGATTCCCTTTTTGGTTAAATTACTTTACAGTACTTGTAATAAGAACAGCCAGATATTACTTACTGTTGATTTTATGTTGAACTGCTGTAGTAAGCTCTAGAGAACATGGGACACAACTGTGCTTTTTTTTTTTTTTTTCCAAGATTAACTGACATGAGGGCTGAGCGGCAAAAGACTAGGGAATTTTAGCTTATTGCCCCCAGCCACTTTCTCACAAGTCCAAATAAAGACTCAAGCCTTAATTTCTCTGTTATCCAGATGATAGCAACGATTCCTCACATGCCACAGACTGGACTGCGGACCTATTTTTATCAGTGGCATAACAGTTACAGCAATTTAAGTGTTACTTACTTGTTTGTGTTTCATATCCCCAGAAGAACTGAAAGGGTTATGATGAATCTTCTTCTATATCATGCTGCTGATGCACTCCTTTAGCCCACTTTTATTTTTACCAGAGAGCTAAGGCAAAACTCTAAAATACTAAAACCAAAACCTCTCCATATCAAGACTGACAACTTCCATTGCTGTAGATTGATGAAAATTCTTTCTACAGTTACAGTTTGTACAGTCTAAAAGTTAGCCTCTTCCAAGATTTTTAGTACTGCTGTCAGATCTTTAAATTTTCTTTGGCCTGAGACAAAACAGACAGTTTACCCATTCATCCTGTGGGTAGCCGAATTACAAGATTTACATGAAGAATTCAGGAAAGAAAAAGAACAAGATAAACTCTTACTGCTAATTCAGGCATGGAAACCATGCACCTTCAAGCCCTGTTGGAATACATTACTATAAAACTAATGAAGCGGTAAAAAAAGAATGAGCTTACATTTATATGTTAGATTGCTCTGCATGTGATAAAAATGGGTCTGTCTGGATTGAAGTAAATTCATATTAAAATGGTGATGTCAAAGCTCAAGTTAACATACCTATAAATGAGATCACCTATCCATAGGACAAATTCCAGACCTTAATCTTTAGGAATCAATGAGCTCTTCGTAGGAGCTGACTATTATAAAATCAACCTAATGATTTTGAAAATATATATTTATGCAGAAATATCACAGATCTCTGATCTTCTGTCTCTCCAATAAGATGCTAGTAAGAATAATTTTTGTTTTCTAATACCATTATGAAAAAAAAAAAAAAAGAAAGCATTGCATCTAGACATATCTGCTGCAACATGCAATGGCATGTTCTGAATTCCTGGGATGATCAGGGCACCTGTTGAAGCACACTGCAGCTTCCATCTAGGCCCCATGCCCAGTTTTCCTTTCTGTGCAAACAAGGACAGAAGAGACTCTGGTGCATGCTGCAGTCTCACTCTTACAGACATCTCTTGTGTGCACTTCCTGACTGGGAACTGTAGTTTCCAGTAAGCACTCTTGGCTCCTCCAGATCAAGTGTAACCTGTAATGGCTAGATTCACTTTACAAGTACTTATGTGCTACTTTATAATTAAAATTTATGTTCAGGTTAAATTTTCAGCTGCCATCTAACACAACCAATGTGCACATTGCAAGGGCACTGAAGTTTCCATCAGTAACCATGACCAGCCAAACCAATGTGGCCAAACAGCAAAGACCCACCTAACATATACCCACATCTTATGTTGGACTCAAGTTTCAGGCAGAAACCCCTATCAGCTAGGATTTGTCTCACACTCATACTGGATCAGGCTTCATAAATATACAGACATAGGAAACTTCTTCAGAGCGTACAACATACCTGCAAGTGTCAGCAATGACATCCAATGAGTCTACCTCAAAGCTATTTGTACTGAAGATAAGCAGGTATTTGTATTGAAGATAAGCACACACAGCTGACCTGCTTTCAAATAGGGTCAAGAATTCGTACTTCCAACATAACTGTGGCCTCATTTATAGAGGTACCAGAAAATCAGACATGATATTTTTGTCTTCCTTTTTCACTTTGTAAGCCACATTATATTACATTAAAATAAATGTGTTAATTGAGACAAAGGTGGGAAGAGGAATGAAGGAGGCTGAATCTACAACTTTGTTGATACAGGAAAGAAGTCAACTCCAAGTCTGGTGACTATTTTGATGGTTATGGAAATAACATAACAGCTATGACAGGTGGGCGGGATTAAGAAATACCTATCAATGGAGTATAAGTATTAGGATGTTCATGCTAGACCCTGAAGAACTGGATTCTCCCACGAGGAAGAGTAGGTAACGAAAAAAAGGACTTCATATTATTCAAGACAGCTAGCATGGCTTCACCAAGGGCACCTGTTGTCTGACCAACCTAGAGGCCTTCTATGATGCAGTGACTACATCAGGGGACAAAGGAAGAGCTACAGATGTCATCTATCTATGGACTTCTATAAGGCCCTGACACAGTCCCCCAAAACATCATTCTCTAAATTGAAGAGATATGGATTTGATGGATGGACTGTTGGAATCTGTTAGATGGCTACATACAGAGAGTAGTGGTCAACAGCTGTGTCCAGATGGAGATCAGTGATGAGTAGTGTCTCTCAGGGGTCCATACTGGGACCAGTACTGTTTAACATGTTCACTAATGACACAGACAGTGGGATCGTATGCACCCTCAGAAAATTTGCAGCTAACACCAAGCTGAATGGTACAATTGACAGGCCTAAGGGACAAGATGCCATCCAGATGGACATAGACAAGCTCAAGAACTCAAGAAGTAGGCCCATGTAAACCTTATATGAGGTTCAACAAGGTCAAGTGCAAGGTCGTGCACCTGGATCCCCCCAGCATCAATACAGGCTGGGGGATGAAAAGACTGAGCGCAGTCCTGGAGAGGTAGACTTGGGGGTACTGGTGGATGAAAATCTGGGCATGAGCCAGTAACGTGCACTCACAGCCCAGAAAGCCAACCGTGTCCTGGGTTGCATCAAAAGAAGTGTGGCCAGCAGACCAAGGGGGGTGATTCTGCCCCTCTACTCTGCTCTGGCGAGTCCCACCTGGAGTACTGTGTCCAGCTCTGGAGCCCTCAGCACAGAAAAGACATGGACTTGTTGAGTGGGTCCAGAGGAGAGTCACAAAAATGATCAGAGTGCTGGAACACCTCTCCTATGAGGACAAGCTGAGAGAGCTGGAGTTGTTCAGCCTGGTGAGGAGAAAGCTCTGGGGAGACCATATAGCAGCCTTCCATACTTAAAGGGGACTTATAAGAAAGACAGGAACAAACTCTTTAGTAGGGCCTGTTGCAACAGGATGAGTAATGGTTTTAAATTAAGAGAGGGTAGAGTTAGACTAGATATAAGGAAGAAATTTTTTACAAAGGGGGTGCTGAAACTGGCACAGGTTGCCCAGAGACATGGTAGATGCCCCATCCCTGAAACACTCAAGGCCACATTGAACAGGGCTTTGAGCAACTTGATCTAGTTGAAGGTGTCCCTGCTCCCTGCAGGGGAGTTAGATAATCCTTGGAGGTCCCTTCCAAGCCAAACTATTCTGTGATTCTATGATATCCCAGGTGAATATCTTGGTTGTAGGAGTTGATGCTTGTTTCTTTCTCTACCTTTCAAAAAAAAAAAAAAAAAAAAAAAAAAAAAAAAAAAAAAAAAAAAAAAAAAAAAGCAGCTGATCTAGTTTACAGGTTTCACACTAGGAGAATGTGCGTAGCTGCGAATGTTCCCCTTTGTGGTCTGTGATCTCTCTTATATACTACTTACGAGCTGAAGTGGTTTTCCACAGTGTGCAGATTTTCATGAACAACATTCTTACAGAAACCTAAAGCTCCTTATTGACTGCCCAAGAAGACTTGGTATTTAACAAGTTAAGGAATCCAAGGGTGGCAGGGTCGCTTAAACAGGGCAATGTTAACAACAGTTTGTGGATCCAACCTTAAATATCAGAATACTAAGATTATGATATTCAGAATATTAAGACTACAAATACCTTGTGTATGAGTTACTGTAAAGCCATTACCTTGATTTTGAGAAGTATCTAGCCATGCTGAAACATGAAAACCAAAAAGCTGAACTGATTTGCATACTTGAAACTCACTGTATTTGGGTTAAAGTGCCTATCTAAAATTATGATCTAGAGCCAATACTTTTCACAATACATTCCATGTCAAAAGGCAATGGAAATTCACCATGCCTGTCAGTCCCAGGACTTTGTTTATACTACATTTTTTATGGGTTAGCAAGTGACTTTGAAAAGCAGTAAATGTAAAAGAAAGTTGGAAAAGGAGCAATGATCTGGGAATGAGACAAAGTATTAATATTTTTAATAAGCAGCATTCAGGAATAATCAGAACTTCATGTGTCACTGCAGAAAGAGCTCATGTCCATGTTCCAAAACCAAATGTTCCCAACAATAAAAAAATGTAAGTTGACAACATGAAAAAATATTCTTGAAGTCAGATGAAAACCATGATTGTGGAGAACTCCTGAACCCCCACCCTCAGATTTACTATATTCTTCCATTAGAAGTGAGTGCTTCCTTCTGATGAATGGTTGGCACATCAAACTTCTGGACAAGTGAGAGTCAAAATAAATGCTTGATGTGAATCTAATAGTTACTGGCACCCATTCAGAGCCTAAGGAGGACTGCTCTGAGAAGAGCATACTCTGTCACTCTCTAACATTCTTTTCCAATATTGGTATTCATTTATTACAATATTGACCCAATGAGTAAGTCCCAAAGTATATTCAGAATGCCAGCTCAGAAAGCTCTCCCCTACATATGCAAAGTTAATCCTTTCTCTTGCACAAGCAATTGCCTTCCCCTAACACACTTCTTCCCCCTGCCTACCCTTCAAACTAGCTTTAATTTATACTTTTCCCTGCATTTGAAGACCATTCCTTTAGACTCAAATAGATCAGGTGAGAAATTTCAGGATGTAAGTGTAATAATCCAAGATCATATCTAAATGGGCTTTGCCGGAAAAGCTTTCATACTGGCACAGTGAGAAATAAATGCTATGCATATGTTGTTGAAGGAAGAAAACCGAAAGGAATGCCTAGGCAAATCCTGAAGGACAGATGCTGATACAAACAGAACTGGTAAATGGAAGACAACAAATGACTGAGAAAGAGACAGTTAATAACAGAAATTGGGAGGGAAAAAAAAAAAAAAAAAAAGAGATAATTTCTCTTTTTTTCTCTCTCGAAGTGAGAACATTTTCATTTTGTAACAGATTAATCTGCACAGAAATTATTAAACTAGTATGAGACAACTTTGCAACTTTGTTTGCAGGGTCCGTTCTTTCTCAGCTCCTGCTTTCTGGTCTATAACTTGTATTTCTCTTTTGGACAGTAACCATCCCCTCAGTCTCTAGAAGAATCTCTTTGCTGTTATCAACTTGAGGCTTCACTCTGAGCCTATTCCCTGCTGTCGGCAGAGCTGCTCAAGCTGGCAGCTATCTACTTGTTATTCCTCACCATCTGTCTGTATCACCTCAAGCTGCAGAAGCCTCTCGCAACTGCATACCATCAGTAATTCTCAGGAGAGGTTCAATCTCTCCTCTTCTTCCCAGTGGTTCAATCTGACCCATATTTGATCCATTTGTGGCAATCAGGTTAAGGAAAACTGCAGCCTCCCTGCAGGCTGCCTAGCCACAAACTTGTAACAGAACGTAACGTACAGGTCAGATACACCCTTCATTAGCAGTTCAGTGTATCTGTCATCTTCTATGACTGGTTCTCCTTTTACTACATCTTTTCATTAGGAAAAAAAAAAAAATCCTGGCATTTTGTTTTAAAATTTTTCAAGTTTCCATTTATTCACTGCTATTATAAGGGAACCTCCTTTTGCACTCACACCCTTTTAGCACTTTTAAAACTTCCCTTCTACCATCCAGCAGCTAGCAACAACAGAGAAGACAACCTATTTTGCTTCTTTCAAACAGCTGAAGAGAATGATTGCACAGCTATGATGTAGGGTCACTCTCTCATGGGGGTTAAGAAGAATTCATTTAGTAGAGCATTTAGCCTTGCTGCTCTACAAATATAAGGCAAAAAAGTCTTTGACTAATAACTGTAGGAAAATTCTAGAAAGATAAGGTATGTGTTGAGGCTGAGCAGTTCTACAAAACTGACAATTCCTTATCCTACAAGCACACGTGCTGTGCCTTTAAGACAGAATTTACCATACTGGAGAGTCAATGTAGAGTTTAAGTGAGATAGCTAGATAACGTGTGGACAGCAAGAGAACGGAGAAAACAGGCAAGTATGAGAAAAGTTGCAGAAGGCAGGTAACAGCTTTTAAGTTAATCAATATCACTATGTTCCTTTCCCGTGGCTTCTTAGCCATAAGATTTTGTCTAACTCTGCATCTGTGAAACATACGACCTGGTCTGGGGTTTAAGTTTAGGTGAGGTTAACATGAGCATTAGGTTGCTGAGGTCAGTATGATCACTGATCTGCTATAATAAAGCCACATGATTTTGTTCACACAAGTTTTGTAAGCTCACATTTAGAATCTCATTTTGCATGGTAGGTTGAAAACGTACAAAACAAACTCCTAGGAACTACAGCTGCTTCCAAACATGAAACCTCAAAGCACAGGAAACAGAAAGGCTGCTCTGGAACTGCTTCAAACTTAAGATGTTTTTTTTTAAAAAGAGAGATTAAAAAAATCTTGCATAATTTTATTTGCTCATACTGCTTATTTTCCATGTACTGTCATTATTTGTTCAAATTTGTTCAGAACTGAGATTTACATCTGTGATTTATGGTCTGTGATGGGCAAGAAAATTGGAAGTACCTGTCTGGTCACTGACAGCCACAGAAGTAGAAACAGGAAGGAGGAGGAAGACTGCCATACAAAGCCAGACTATGCAGGATCCAATGTACTTCATCTCCCCCTGGACACATGTGAACAATCAGCTACAAATCTGAAACAGAAAACAATCATATTCAGAACAACCTTTACTTACTCTTTTTCCCCTCACCCCATCAGAAAAAATACAAACAAGAATTTCTTAACGGTGAAGAGGAAGTCACTAGTCAAACGCAGAGTGTATCATTTATCTGTTTTAAGAAGATACAAAAACAGACTTACGTAAATTTAGAAATAAGTGACAAATACACTCCTTGAGTTTTTTATTAAACTCAGAAGTAACATGTTAGAAATATTAACTCGGAGATATTAGTTGCAAAGGCACTGAATTTCCATTTCATTAGTAAGGACCAATTTTAGTTTTTCCCAAATTTTAAATATATTTGTTAAACTGTTTGGTGAGACAACACTGCCGGTGTCACAACACTGCCAGAGATTGCCAGTCATCAAATTGAACAAGGACAATGTGGAATTGTTTAACTGCAAAATAAACCAGAATACGCTATTTTGCTGCCTTGCAAAGGATACAAGTGCCTGTACTGAGTTTATAGTTTAAACCTCACAAAAATGATGTCTGGTTTCAACAAATCTTTTGTGCTCTAAAGACAGTATTGGCTTTTCTTCTAAACCAACTGCAATGTAGATACACGTGAGTTTAATGAAACACAGAAAATGACAAATATTTTCCTAATCACATTTTCTGTAAGAAAAACAAATCGCACGCCTAAGATGCAATTTTAATAATTATTTTCTCAAGGCATCTTATCCATGGTCGTAACTATTCTGTCAGTCACATGCACTGACAGCCACTACACCCTCATTAACTTTTCCAGCCTCCCCAGCAGCAGCGACGTGAATACATGTTCAAATAACATTACCATTTAATTTCCTGCACCTGCTTGACAAGCAGGCATCAGTAATTCACTAGACCTGCCGCTCCAGAGGTCTCGTTTTCTGAAGGGCTCTCACCAAGCAGAGCACTAATGCCGCCTCCGCACCTCC